TAGACCAGGCTGGCCTCGAACTCACAGAGATCCGCCTGCCTCTGCCTAACTTCTGTAGTAATAATAACTACTGGAGAGTTCAACTCCCCCAGCACCTACATTAAAAAGCTGAGCATGGCTGCATGCCTGCGCATGCCGGGGGCACCAGCATTATAAGATCAAGACAGTCTCCGTGCGTTTGAGACCAGCCTGGTCTACAGAGTTAGTTCCAGGACGGCCAGGACTACACTGAGAAACCCTATCAGGGAAAAAGTGGGGGGGGGGGTGTCAAGACAGAGGGAGCCCAAGCGCTAGCTGTTTAGCACGCCTAGCCAAAATGGCCAGCTTCTGGTTCAGTGAGAGACCCTGTCTCACGGAGAGGAATGGAAGACACTTGATACCCTGCTGGGCTTCTGTAAGATACAGCCCGGGAGAGACCTTGGTGGGTCCCACGCGTGAGGAATGCGGGCGGGAAACAGAGTATGCCATGCAAAGAGAGCTTGGGTATAGAGTTTATTTAGAGGGTAGGGGGGAACAGAGAGACAGAGAGAGAGAAAGAGAGAGAAAAGGGCCATACACACCCCTAGACGAGTTTGCCTCGGTGGTTAGAGTGATTGGAAGTGGGCGGGGCTTCTCTTAAAGGGACCTTTGCACCTGCATAGGCCCCTGGGCTGGCTAGGGTACTGCCTGGGTTCATTCAGCCAGGTGACAGGGCAGGCCAGGCCAGCATAATCCTAACAGCTTCTGCATGAGTATGTATGCCTGAGCAAGGGCAATGCCCGCAAGTGCCCATGCACGCGCGCGCACACACACACACCACAAATAAATAAACATGGTGTAAATAAATAAAAATGATGTAAAAAAAAAAACTTCAATTAAAATGTAAACATAGCCGGGCAGTGGTGGCACACGCCTTTAATCCCAGCACTTGGTAGGCAGAGGCAGGCGGATCTTTGTTAGTTCGAGACCAGCCTGGTCTACAGAGTGAGGTCCAGGAGTGGCTCCCTATATACTGAGAAACCCTGTCTTAAAAAAAAAAACAAAAACAAAAACAAAAATAAACACACACACACACACACACACAGAGTAAAATGAAAATACAAAGTACATCCCAACTGGAAGAGAACAGAAGGAAGACAAGTATTGCAGAGATCAGGGGGTGGAGCCACAGAACAGAGGATACCCAAGGGACCCTAAGTCAAGACAGTCAATGCCAAAGAAGTACAGCCTCGGCAGATGGCCCCAGGGCTCACCCAGCTGTGGGCACTGGCCAGCATAGCATAAGACTAGCCAGCAGAAGAGGGGAGGAGAGGGAGGCCGGCGGATCTCAGAGCACCTGGCTCTCTTCTAAATGCTGGATCAGCCACACCCGGATACATGTTCTATGGTTACTGATACCTTTGCCCACCAGGCATCGTGACACTCAATGCCTTGAATCCCAGCACTCAGAAGGCAGGAGCAGATAGATCTCTGAGTTTGAGGCCAACCTGGTCTTCACAGTCCAGTCCAGGACACAAAGGGGTACACCGTGAGACCCTTTCTCAGGAGGGTAGCTTTGAACAGAATGAAAGGTGCTGTATCTCCCCTAAACCTTGTGTATTGGAGGCCTGGTCCCTAGCTGGTGATACTACTGAAAAGTGATTGGGTCATGAGGGCAATACACAGATGACTCAGTGCTGACGAGCAGGGCTTAGTCGGAGGAAATGGGTCACTGGGGACTGGACTTGATGGGTGTATTTTGTTTCATTTCTTTTCCTCTCTCTCTCCCCCCCTGCAACTCCCACCCCCTTCCCGGCTTCCTAGATGCCATAAGGCAAGTAGCCACCTCCTCCTCTGTCACCACCATCCCTCCCCACCTCATGCTCCCAGGACCACAAAGCTCGACCTCACCTCAGATCCAAATCAAAGGAGCCAGCTGACCATGGACTAAAACCTTGGACCCAGCACCACCACCAAAGGCTGGAGAGGGAAGGAGTGAACATCCAGGACCCACCAGAGGGAGCGAGCTCTGCCAACGCATGGGTTTGAACTTCTGGCCTCCACAGGGGTGATGATACAGTTTCTGCTGTATGGGGGTGCTAGGTTTACAAGTTGGGGCTCCCACATCTGAAAACCCATAATCTAAAATCCAAAACTCTGAGAGATGATAGGCTGCCCCAAGAGAATTCCACCCTGGACCTCTTGTAACATTACGGAGACATGGGAAAAGAGTCATAAAAATTACCTTCAAGATAGCCACGCTACCTGGATAAATTGCAAGGTATGCAAACATAAGGTCTGAGTTTTGATCCCCGGCATCCATAGAAAAGCCAGGTGTGTTTGGCAGCATACTAGAACCCCAGTTCTGGTAGGCACAGACTGGCAAGTCCCAGGAGGGTCCTAGCCAGCCAAACTAGCAGAGAGCAGCAAACTCCAGGTTCAGTGAGAGACCCTGTCTCAAAACTATGAGGGGGAAACACAACCGGGGAAGACATCATGACATCAACCTCTGGACTACACACACACACACACACACACACTTCAAAACCAGTCAGAGATATATAGCATGTTCAAGGCCAGTATAGACTACATAAGAGCCGATCTGAGAAACTCCCAAAGTAAGAATAAACAAACAAAAAAATAAATAAATAAAAACGTTAAAATCAAATTATAGACTAGGGAGATGGCTCAACAGGTAAAAGCAACTGCCACCATTTCCGCCAACCTGAGTTCAATCCTTAGGACTCATATGATGCAAGACAAGAATCACCCAAGTTGTCCATGGCACACTCGAGAATCACCTCCAGCAAGCTGAACATGGCACATGCCTGTCCCCTCCACACCCTGATATGAGAAAAATATAATAAAGGGGGAAAAAACTATTTTTAAGTCACGGGGATGGAGAGATGGCTCAGTGATTAATAGCAGGTACTGTTCTTCCAAAGGACCCAAATTCAGTTCCCAGGACCCACACTGGGTGGCTCACAACCACCTTTAATTCTAAGCCTCTGATTTACCGAGGTACCTGCACACATGTGCGCAGACCCATCCATATATACATTCATAATTAAAAATAATAAAAATCAAATTTAAAATCAAATTACCTTCAGGTTACGTGCACAAGGTCGAGGTGCAACAGGAACCAATTTCTTGTTCAGGCTTGAGCCCCATCCCCAAGGTATTTTACGATTAGACACAAATATCCCAAAATCCAAGGAAATCCCAAATCTGAGATGTTCTTTGTGGTCTCAAGGGTTTGGCTTGTTTTCTTGTTGCAGCCTCAGGACCATTCTTAAGGTTCCTGCACTGTGCCCATCCCCTCCTCAACAGAACCACTCTACATGGTCAGGTCCCAGCAGCTCAGAACTCTGCAGATTAAAGGTCTGGGTCCGTGACTAAATTCTTATCTCTTCCCCAGTGGAAACCCCACAATAGTCACTGGGGAGACCTAGATTTTTCCGGACCCTGGGAAAAGTTCTCTGACTCAATGTCACTGTCCTGTGGACCAGCTGAGCAGATGCTGGGAGCCAACGCGGGGAAGAAAACTCCCAAGCGAGCACGCAAAAGGCAAAGTCAAGCACACACACCACCCAAACACTGCCTCCGCACCAGCCGCCACCATATGCTAGTGTTTCTCCAAAAAGAAGCCCGAGAGAACAAACAAAAGGCAGTGTCTACCATCCGGCCTTGGGGAGAAGAATTCTGTTTTCCCCCCAGCAACCCACAGGCTCCATTTCCTGTCCTGTGGGCTGCCCAGAGGGTATGGAATTGCCCAGGGCCCTGCATTCCAGAACCCAGTCTCTGCTCCACCCTTAGCTGGGAGAAGGTTGCAGTCCACAGCCTGGCCTCCCTCTCCTGTCAGCTCCAGGCACTATTGCCTGAGGGGATCTTACAATCAGCAATGTCTGGGTGCTGGGGGCAAAAGGGGGACCTTCCAGGGTACAGTGAGTAAAGTGTTTGCCTATGTGCAGCACCCCAGGCTCCTTCCTTAGCACCCCATAAACCAGATGTGGTAGCACAGGCCTAAAATTCTATCTCTCAAGGCAGAGGCAGGAAGATCAAGAAGTTTAAGGTTGAGAGACTGGCTAAAAGCACTGGCTGCTCTTCCAGAGGCCTGGATTCAGTTCCCAGGACCCACGTGGTGAAAGACCGGGATAAATCCAGACCCCTCTAGCAGAAAAATAAAGCCAAAAAAATCTAAGCAGGGAGAGAAGAATCAAAAATCTAGATTAGCCAGTTGAGTGACTCTGTTTCAGGAAATAGCTGAAGATAAAGTTAGATTATAATCTTGAGAAACAGGGAGTTACCCCCTTGTGATTATAACTGGTATTTTCGGAATTTTTCAATGATCACTGTTTATTTTCGGAATTTTCCAGTGCTGCCCTCCCTACCCTCTTTGGATTACTGGGTTATGGTTTCTTCCCTTAAATACCCCTTATTCCTACTACTCGGGGTCGAACTCTCTACCCCTGCGTGGGAAATGATTTTCGGTCCCAGGGCACTGGATCCTGTCCTGTCAATAAACCTCGTGTGATAGCAGCAAGGAGGGTCTCTCATGAGCTCCTGGGGGGTCGTGTTATCCTGAGACTTGAGTGAGAGTCTCCCCACATGGGGGGGGTGTCTTTCAGTGGCAGCTCACAGCTGTCTGTAACTCCAGTTCCTGGGGATTTGACATCCTCACACCAATGCACATAAAATTAAAAAAAAAAAAATTCAAGGTTGGGAAGAAGTTCAAGGTTATCTGGGCAGCGGTGGCGTGGGCGTACACCTTTCTTTAGTCCCAGAACTCGGGTGGGGGGGGGTGATCTCAGCTGAGTTCAAGACAACCCTGCTCTACAAATCAAGTTCCAGGACAACCAGGGCTGTTACAGAAAAACCCTGTTTGGGGAGGCTAAAGGGTGGGGGCGGGGGGTTGTTCAAGGTTATCCACAGCTAGGTAGCAAGTTCTAGATCTGCCTGGGCTACAAAAGGAGGCTCTGTCTAAAATAATTAAATTTAAAAAATTAAAAAGGTTGCTAGAGGCTTGGTGGTAGAATACTTGCCTAGTATTCACAAGGTCCTGAGTTTGAATCCCAGCACCAGACGTTTGTCTCCTGGTTCATTTCACAGTAGACACACAGTCCACTTCCGGTTCGTAGCCAGAGAGCTTGAAGCCTGTGTTGTGAGCTGCCCTTGAACTGCCCTGAGCAGGGGCCAGGTCTTCAGTGAACTAGTTTCTAGAGTGTGCACAAACCATAGATCCCTCTTGTTAGACATCCAGCAACATGCTCAGGCTCCAAACACCAGATAAGAGGCTGATGGGCATCTCCTTGGGTCAACACCATGCAGAAGACCCTTTCTGATAATGGAGACAGCAGACGAGTCCCAAAGACACCCAGACACCTCTATCCGCTGCAACCCGTTCACAGGAGCCTAAGGGGGAAAATAAGCCATGTGACCAGGATGGTTGGATGGATGACAAAGTAGTCAGGAGCACTTGTTACTCTTGCAGAGGACCTGGGTTTGGTTCCTAGCACCCACGTGGCAGCTCACAGTCATCAGTAACTCCAGTTCCAAGGGGTCTAATACATTCTTCAGACCTCTGAAGGTGCCAGGCACACATGTGGTACACATACATACATGCTGGCAAAGTCCACATAAATTGATACCTTTGTTATTATATTTATTTATTTGGTTTTTCGAGACGGTTTCTCTATAGCTTTGGAGCCTGTCCTGAAACTAGCTCTAGTAGACCAGGCTGGCCTCGAACTCACAGAGATCCGCCTGCCTCTTGGGAGTTCCAAGGCAGCCAGGGCTACACAGTGAGAGCCTGCTTCAAAAATTACTTAATTAAAATACCATACAAGAAGCCAGTGAGGGAAGAGTTCATTTGGACACACAGTTTGGAGGAACACAGTCCATGATGGCGCCAGGAGCAGGAGGCAGCTGGGAAATCGAGAGGTGAATGCAGGCGCTTTGCTCAATTTCGCCTTTTTCTTCAGTTGCCAACACACCCAGCTTCTTTGGTTCATTTTGAAAACAAAAATTTTTTTATTGCATTTATTTGTGTGTGCACACAAACATACCACAGTGCACCTGTGGAGGTCAGAGGGCAACTTTCAGTTCGCTCATGGTCTCCTCCCACTAGGCAGTGGATTCTAGGGGTCAAGCTCAGGTTGTCAGGTTTGGCGGCAGGTGCCTTTACCCACTGAGCCATCTTGCCAGTCCTCACCTGGCTTATCATTTAAAGATATTTTTTGAGGGGATAGGGTGACGGGCTAATTTAGTAAAGTGTTTGCCACACAAGCATACAGACTGGAGTTCATTTCACAACATCTCTGTAAGGGATTGGTGGTAGCCTGTCTCAGCACGGGGCAGGCAGAGATAGGGAGATCTCTGGGGCGCACTGGCCAGTCAGTCTAGACTAATTGGTGAGTTGCAGGTCCTAGTAACAGCCTCTGTTTCTAAAACAGGAGATGAGGGGGGGCTGGAGAGGTGACACAGCAGGTAAGACACTTGTTCTGGCAGTGGACCCAAATTCAGTTCCCAGTGGTTCTGTTAGGTGACACAAAGCCACCTCTACCTCCAGGTCCGTGGCACCTGACACCCTCTTCTGGACTCCGTGGACACCTGCAGGTACGCGTACACAAAGATATCCCCTAAAATAGGGTCTCCTGCCGAGCGGTGATTGGCGCACGCCTTTAATCCCAGCACTCGGGATGCAGAGGCAGGCGGATCTCTCTGAGTTGGAGGCCAGCCTGGTCTACAAGAGCTAGTTCCAGGACAGGCTCCAAAGCAACACAGAGAAACCCTGTCTCGAAAAAGACAAACAAACAAAAAAAAAAAAACAGAACAAAAGCTATGGTCTCCCATCCAAGTACTAACCAGGTCCAACACTGCTTAGCTTCAGGCATGTCTAGTATGGTATAGCCGGGGATGAGATACAGTCTCAGTAAGTCTCCTAGATTCTGAACTCTCATTCCACCTGCCTCAGCTTCCCAAGAGGGGCCCAGAGGTGTGTACTACCACGCCTGGCTTCAGCATGTCAGTTCTACAAGATAAAGACAATCACACAGCCACAACTGAGGAACACACCTAAGACAGGAGCCCAAACACTTCCTGGGCACTCTCAGCTCTAGCAGCTCCCCAAAGCATCCCTTGGCCGACATCTGAGACTACAGAGACCCACCCACTGTCTCCCCAAGTCCAGGATTTCTAGCTCTTGAGGTTCCGAGTTTGCACATACCACGCAGAGAGAATTATTGGAGACGCTGGTATTCCCGCAGTTCAAGGAACCCAATGTTCCGGGGGTAGTAGCCCAGGTTGGACAGACAGGGCTCGTGAGATGGCTCAGTGGGTGAAGGCACATGTCACCAAGCCTAACGACTCCTATTTGATCTCAGAGACCCACATAGGAGGAGAGAATTGACTCTCCCAAATAGTCCTCCGGCTTCTACGTGCATGCACGGCACACCTAGGAGCATAAACACACACAAACGTACAGGTGCACACACATGCACACACAATAAACTAAAATAAATTAAAATGTAAAAAATTAAAATAAGCACAAAAGACGGTCTCTGTCCCAAGGAGAGCCTGGCATTTATATATAGCTGAGCCCAGGAAAAACATGGCCAAGGTCACAATAGCTCACATTTCCTCTCCTCAGTGAGCCAAGTTGGTAAATAAGATGCGAAAAGAAAATTTCAACCGATTTAGAAAAACACCTCTTATCCAAGCGTGCTGCTGCTGCAAGCAAGCTTGCCACAAATGCCAGCTCTCAGGGGCGAGGGAGTTCAAGGTCATCCTCCACACAGGGAGTTCTAGGGCAGTGTGGCATTCCCTATCTCCAAAAATAAGGGAGGAGGAGAGGAAGGAGGAGGGGGGAAAAGGAGAGGAGGAAAGAACCACCTCTGGGGCCAGGGATGGCTCAGGAGGAATGGCGGGTGCCACTAAAGCCTAATGACCCGAGTTCAACTCCTAGGGACACTCACATGGCAGGAAACAGCGGACTCCAGGAGGTTGCCTTTTGACCTCTCTCTCTCTCAATCCCTCACACACACACACACTCTCTCTCTAAAACAAAATAAATAAAACTAATTTTTTAAAGAAAGAAACCCATCTCTCAGCACTGCTAAGTATGTTCTCACAATGTCCTCTGTTTAGGGACAGATGGGCCCTTTATTCCACCACTTCCATGAAGGTCCAGCAGGGACAGACTATGTCCCAAGACCTCCGCATCCTTACCCGGGGTCACACCAGGCCTCTGATGTTGAGTCCTACCCCACGAGCATAGGTTACGCCACTTGCAAATGCAAATTCTGGAATTTTTTTTCCTTTCTTCCTTTGATACTAGTGAAGAAACCAGGACCTGTTCTTAAGAGGCCAGTGTGCACCAGTGAGCCGCACCGAGTCCCTGGGGAGGGGGGTCCTAGGCAGGTGCTCTACCACTGAGCCACACTCCGAGTCCCTCACTGGGGGATTCCAGGCATGTCCTCCACCATGGCACTTCATCTATAACATAGCTGTTTTGTTTTTGAGACAATATCTCCCTATGGCACCCTGGCTGGCCTCCACCTTATGGCAATTCCTGCTTCAGGCTATGGCTGTTTTTTAATTTTGCTTTTACATTTATCAGTCTATTGGGGAAGGGGGCTGCCAGATCAAGTATGTGGAGGTCACAGAATAACTCTCAGGAGTCAAGGTCTCCTTCCACCATGTGGGTCAAACTCAGTTTGCCAAGTTTCCTGGCACGCACCATTACCCTCTGAGCCATCTAACCAGCCCCACAGCCTACAGACTTCTGAGACAGGGTCTCACTATGTAGCCCAGGCATAGCCTTGAATTTAATCCCCTGCCTCAGTATCCCAAGGACTGGGATCACAGGTTTGCCCTACCACGCATGGTGACATACTTTCGTGGGCAAGCAGGCTAGATCTTTTAGAGAAACAAACCTCCGAGATTGTGGTTTCAGCACAGTCCTCCTCGTCTGTTCCCTGGAGCCCCAGCTACTGGAAAACACATCAGATAGGCAGCCCAGCCTCCGCCTCAGCCTCACGCAACACCAGGGCTGGATGTCGAAATGATGAAGAAAGATTCCAGGTGCGAAAGTTCACGCTATACAGAGTTCAAAGCCAGGTCAAACCGTGGCATCCGGAGTCAGACAGCGAGGGAGACGGCAAGATGGCTCGGGCTTACGAGGATCTTCGTTTCATCTCCAGCACCCACGTGAAAACAAGCTAGGTGTGGCGGTGCCTCAATGTTGAGGAGGCAGAGACAGAAAGATTCCTGGGGCTCACTGGACAGACAGCCTAGCTGAACTGATAAGTCCCAGGCCAGTGAGAGACCGCGTCTCAGAACAAGGAGATGGTTTGGTGTTGTAAAGTTCTTGCCGCACAAGCCTGAGGAGCCCTGAAAGAGCCCCACGCAGTAGCATGTCTGCCTGTAATCCCCGTATGTCGGTGGAGAGACAGACAGAGAGACTAAGAGAATCCTTGGAAACTATGGGACAGCTAGCCTGGAGGACCCAGTAGTGAAATAACAGAGACCCTGCCTCAAAACAATGGAAGAGAGAACCAATCATGAGGTCGTCCTCTGACCTTCATACCGGTGCCAAGGCACACACACATACACACACAATCAAGGTGGGCTGTGACTGGGAGTTCCCCTCCAGCCTACAAGTTAAATGTTTGGGGAGATGGCTCAGTGGTCACAGTGCCTGTTAAGAGGACCCATGTAGATGCCGAGGGGCATGGTGGCCCACCTGTAATTCTAGCCACAGAAGGCAGAGACAAGGGATCCACGGAGCAGGTTAGAAGCCATGTCAGCGAGCTCTGGGTTTGACTGACAGACCCTGCCTCAGTGAACAAAGTGGACGACAAATGAAGAGAGGCTTCCAACATCGACTTGGGTCACTCCACGCATGTGCATACCTACACATGTCAACAAGCATGCCCACGTGCACAGACACCACATGACACACGTGAAAAGGAAGAGACAAACGGTATCTAAACAGTGAAGAGCAGGAGATAGCAAACAGTGAGTTGGGTCTGATTTGCAAAATTATTGTTATTGCTGAGCGGTGGGGGGGACAGGCCTTTAAGCCCAACAATCCGGAGGAAAAGGCAGGCAGATCTCTGTGAGTTTGAAGCCAGCCTGGCCCAGGACAGCCAGGACTACTCAGAGAAAACCAACCAGTCTTGAAAAACAAAGGTGCTGGAGAGATGGCTCAGTGGTTAAGAGTATTGCCTGCTCTTCCAAAGGTCCTGAGTTCAATTCCCAGCAACCACATGGTGGCTCACCAACCATCTGTAATGAGGTCTGGTGCCCTCTTCTGGCTTGCAGAGATACAGACAGAATATTGTATACATAATAAATATTTGCTGGGCGATGGTGGCGCACGCCTTTAATCCCAGCACTCGAGAGGCAGAGGC